GAGGCACAGACCACTCAACCGGCAGCCACAGAGGCACAGACCACTCAACCGGCAGCCACAGAGGCACAGACCACTCAACCAGCAGTCATGGAGGCACAGACCACTCCATCGGTGACCACAGAGGCACAGACCACTCCATTGGTGGCCACAGAGGCACAGACCACTCCACCAGCAGCCATGCAGGCCCTGTCCACAGAACCCAATGCCACAGAGGCCCTGTCCACAGAGCCTAATGCTACAGAGCCCCTGTCCACAGAACCTACTACCAAAAGGGGTCTGATCATGCCCTTTCCTGCATCCTCTGTTACTCCCAAGGGCATCCCCATGGCAGCCAGCAATTTGTCCACCAGCCACCCAGTGGGGGCCCCAGACCATATCTCTGTGAAGCAATGCCTCTTGGCCATCCTCGTCTTGGCAATGGTGGCCACTGTCTTCCTCGTGTGCACTGTGGTGCTGGCAGTCCGCCTTTCCCGCAAGAGCCACATGTACCCCGTGCGTAATTACTCCCCCACCGAGATGGTCTGCATCTCCTCCCTGCTGCCTGACGGGGGTGAGGGCCCCCCCGCCACAGCCAATGGGGGCCTGCCCAAGGCCAAGAGCCAGGGCCTGATGCCAGAACCTGGGGAGGACCATGAGGGGGACAACCTCACCCTGCACAGCTTCCTCCCTTAGCTCCCTCTGCCATCTGTTTCGGCAAGACCCCAGCCTCCACAGTCTCTCCTCGGCCACCCCTGGGTACCCGGACCTCATTCCACAGCTCTGGGCTTCCTCGGAGACCCCTGGGGATGGGGATCTTCAGGGAAGGAACCCTGGCTGCCCAAGCAGGACAAGAGCAGCCAAGGTCTTTGGGCCAAGCAGACTGGCAGGTGGCCACCTCTTTCCTCCCTCCTTGAATGAAGCCCGGTCACTTCCCAGCCACCTACAGGCCACATTTCAGCCAAGGGCGGGGGTAGGAGGCCATTTATTCAAGAGAGAGTCTCTCCTTTTTCCTATCCCCGTCTTCTCTGGGTCCCTCTCATGTCTCCCGTGGCTCTCTCCGATTCTCCAGGTCACTGGAGTCTCATCCCACATACCCAAGGAAGATCGAGTTCTCCCACCCCACCCACAGCGCCATTTTCTTCTGGTTGCCATGGTCACCAAACTGGTAGGGGACATTCTAGGGGAGGAGTACTGAGGAGTGACAGACTCCTGAGGCTGTTTCCTGCTGCTCCTCCAACCTGGGCAGCTGGGGTCTTCTTGGGCACCTCTCTGGGAAAACCCAGGGTGAGGCTCAGCCTGTGAGGGCTGGGATGGCTTTGGCAAGCCCGAGGGCAGATCTTTCTTTTGGACTGGGTGGACCAAGGAGCTTCCATCTAGGGACAAGTGACCCCTAGCCGTCCTCTCCCACCTCCCCCCGTGGCCACTTTCTAGGGTGGGCTCTGTCTTGTTCACTGCAGTATCCCAACTGCAGGCACAACGCAGACACTCAATAAATGTGTGATGGACAAACGATGGCTGAATCCTTCAAGGTATCAAGGCTGTCTCCTTCAGGCAGCCTTCCTAGAATTCTCCATCCCTCAGTGCAGGGTGGGGATTGGTCCTCTGCTGTCTGCCTTCAGCCTCCAGCGCCCATGGCCTCTGTCATGGGATATTATGTTGATTTCAGTTTTGCCTCTTGGACATCAGGGACATCTTGTACATCCTTGGGTGGCCAGGAAAAGTTCAGGCTGTGGGGTGGGGGGCAAAGGACCACTGGTGGTCCCCACCAGTGACCACTTTATTTGACTTCTCCCATGACCCAGTTTTGGCCACAGAATTTGGTTTTCCCCAAATCTCAGACCAATATCTCCCTAAACATCAATCTATCCTCCTGTTAAAGAAAAAAAGTGACTCAATGATACTTGTTACACATGGTAAGGAAGACTTTGTTCAAGGTGAGGGGAGCCCTTTCCATCACTGCAGGGACTGCAGGTATGGGATTTTGCAGTGGGGGCGAGTTTGGGCTCAGCCCCGAGTACAATAGGGGAAGTGGGACTGGTCACCCGGAAGCAGGGTTGGAGGTCTGCGGTTGAAAATTATCAAGACGAAACATCGGAGGAAAGGGAATTCTGGCTAAACTGACCTAACAAGATTCTTGCTGGAGACAGGCTACGGTGCTCAGACATCGCCTGGGGATGGTGACAGATGTGGAACTTGATCAGATATGGTGTAGAGGGGGAGGGTTGTTGCTAAACTGACTTAGCAGAGTTCTTGTTAGAACTGGCTTTTATTTTATTTATTTTTTGAGTTGGAGTTTCGCTCTGTCGACCAGGCTAGAGTACAATGATGCGATCTCAACTCACTGCAACCTCCGCCTCCGGGGTTCAAGCAATTCTCCTACCTCAGCCTCCGAGTAGCTGGGATTACAGGCGCATGCCACCACCCCTGGCTAATTTTGTATTTTTAGTAGAGATGGGGTTTCTCCATGTTGGTCAGGCTGGTCTCGAACTCCCAACCTCAGGTGATCCACCCACCTCGGCCTCCCAAAGTGCTGGGATTACGGGCATGAGCCACCGTGCCTGGCCTAGAACTGAATTTTACAAGAAAGTGCACAAATGGGCTTAGGAGAGGACTCAGGGGCCTGACTGATTAAAGCTTGGCCAAGCACAGAATCTTTACCACTCTCCAGAAGCTCACCCTGACCTCTCCTGTTCACTCAGGCCCTGTCCCCATTAATAGCCAGTAGCTTATCGGCGAGCCTCGGTGCAGCCCACAACCTTTTGTACAACTCAGAGAAGCACTGCTTTGCTGTGAAATGCTGGAAAAGGTCAGGCTGACAATCTTTTTCTTAAAGGACCAGACAGTGAATATTGTAGGCTTTAGCTGTTGTGACACCGTAGCCTCTGTTGCAACAACTCAACTCTGTCCTTGTAGTACAAAAGCAGCCACTGACAATATGTCCATAAATGAATGGGCATGGCTGTGTTCTGATAAAGCTTTATTTACAAATAGGCGGCAAGCTAATTTCAGCTCTGTCGTTTCGCCGACGCCTGATTTTAAGCATAAGATGACCAGTCATCCCGGTTTGCCCGGGACTTTCTTGATTTTAGCATTGAAAGTCCCATATTCCGTGAAACTCAGCAAACTAGGTTGGCCTTGATATTTAAGCAGCACTTGTATTATCCCATTCAAAACCCGCACTGACCTTGCGAGGGTCAGGTCACCGCCCAGTGGGTTCACCCTGTCTGCTGCCTAGACAGGGCCGATTTATCAAGACAGGGGATTTTTTTTCTTTTTTTCTGAGATGGAGTTTCCCTCTGTTGCCCAGGCTGGAGTACAGTGGTGCAATCTCGGCTCACTGCAACCTCTGTTTCTCAGGTTCAAGCAATTCTTCTGCCTCAGCCACCCGAGTAGCTGGGATTACAGGTGCCCGCCACCACACCCTGCTAATTTTTGTATTTTTAGTAGAGATGAGGTTTCACCATACTGGCCAGACTGGTCTCAAACCCCTGACGCTCTGATCCACCTGCCTCTGCCTCCCGAAGTGTTGGGATTACATGCATGAGCCACCACGCCTAGCTGGGAGTTTTATTATCACTCAAATCAGTCTCCCTGAGCATTCGAGCACTCGGGGATCAGAATTTTTAAAGATAATTTGGTGGGTAAGGGTTTGGGAAGTGGGGAGTGCTGATTGGTCAGGTTGGAGATGGAATCACAGAGGGTCCAAGTGAGGTTTTCTTAATGTCTTCTGGTCCCAGGCAGGATGGCAGAACTGGTTGAGTCAGGTTACTGGGCTGGGTGGTGTCAGCTGATCCATCCAGTGCAGGAATTACAAACTACCTCAAGCACCGATCTTAGGTTTTACAACACCGATGTTATCCCCAGGAGAAATCTGGGGAGGTTTCGTCTCTTGGAGCCAGAGGCTGCATGACTCCTAAACCATCATTTCTAATCTTGTAGCTCATTTGTCAGTCCTGCAAAGGCAGACTGGTTCCAGGCAAGAAGGGGGTCTTTTCGGGGAAAGGGCTATTATCAATTTTGTTTCAGGGTCAAAGCATGAACTGAATTCTTTCCCAAAGTTAGTTCAGCCTAACTTTGGGAAGGAATGAACAAGGACAGCTTAAAGGTTAGAAGCAAGATGGAGTCTGTTAGGTCTGATCTCTTTCACTGTCATAATTTCCTCAGTTGTAATTTTTGCAAAGGCAGTTTCCGTCAGATTAGAACACCAAGCTTTGGAGAGGACTCTTTCTTCGTCTTCTGCTTCCAAATACCTGCCAGTCACTTCCATATAGAGAGAAGGAAGTTGCCGCTTAAAACAGGCTCTGTGCTACCTTTTAGAAGAGGAATAAAAGTCATCTCAGGGGATAATCTTTTTTTTTTTTTTTCTTCCAGAAAAATACCTCCGGCCGGGCATAGTGGTTCATGCCTATAATCCCAGCACTTTAGGAGGCCGAGGTGGGAGAACTGCTTGAGCTCAGGAGTTTGAGGCTAGCCTGGGCAACATGGTGAAACCCAGTCTCTACAAAAAGAAATACAAAAATTAGCCAGGTGCAGTGATGTGCGCCTGCAGTCCCAGCTGCTCATGAGGCGCAGGTGGGAGAATCGCTTGAGCCTAGGAGGTGGAGGTGGCAGTGAGCCAAGACTGCGCCATTGAACTGCAGCCTGGGCAACAGGAGTGAAACGCTGTCTAAAACCAAAAACGAAACAAAACAAAAAACAGAAAAGAAAAAGAAAAGAGAAATACCTTCAATGGTCTCTTTGGAGGTGAAGGACATCCCCTCTTGCCCCCAAAGGTTTAGGCTGAAAGAGGAGCGTTCACAGAGAAGGCGGGGTCTGGCAGGGGTTGGCTGTGGCTTGGAAGAGGGGTTGGAGGGGAGAGGAGAGACAAGGACAGGCAGGAAAGAGCTGTCAGGGGGAGGGGGAGTGGGGAGAGCTCCCGCACTTGTCGGAAACGCAGTGTCAGTCCCCTCCCCATGAACTTCTAGAACGGTCAAATCTGATACACACAGGTAGGTGTGTTGAAGGTGTCTTGGGATGCTGATGGAAGCGGTGGGAGTGTCTGCCGTGGGCTGGGGCAGGTAACACCTGGGACGGCAGTTTGACGGGTCAGGAGAGACTGAGTCTACCTCCCCTTTGGGAAGGATCAGAAAAATCAGAGGAGAGCTGAAGGTTTCACAGCTGGGAGCTGTGGACTCAGGCTGAAGGACGTGGGGGCCTCTGAGTGGCTTCCCAGGGGATCTTGTCACCCCATCTTTTTGGGGCCTTTCCCCTAGTCCCTGACAGCTGCTGAGGATGCTGTGTGACCACAGCTTTCCAGCTCTGTTGGAAGAGGGCTACCTTCCCTTTACAGTTTTCTCTCTCTCCAAGGCGTGGGATTTCATTCAGGGTGGGCGGTACCGGGTGCTCAAAGTGGCCACCAGGGGGCGCCCGCCGCCAGCTCTTAGAGCAGGTGGAAGCCTGCGATTCACTCGGTGCGGACTTGGAGATCACCTAGTCAGAAAGGAGCCCCAAACCCAGTGGCATGCTGCTAAGTTTTTAACAACTGGCCTCCAGTCGGAAAAAGCCCTGATCTGTAGCGTTTGCCAATGTCCTCCATGTAAATACTCCCGCGGCTGATTTTGAGCCACCAACCATTCATTACATAGGCGATGGGACAACAGATGTTAGTAACAGCAGCAATGAGTACCGAATGACGTAGTAAAAGTATTAGGAACTGGTGAGTTTTGAGTACTGATGACCTTGGCTTTTAATATAACAGAATTTAATTTATTAAACAACTGACACAAAGTTCTGAAAATGTTATTGATTAGCTCTCACCGGCAGTGCAGTCTGGCTCCTGCACACCCGGGCCCTCCCCTCCTGCCTGGGCCTCCCATGCCCTTGAACTTCGCCAGCCTGGATCACCCCACTCACTCATTCAGCAAACACATCCCGAACACACACCAGGCTGCAATAGCCCCGTGAATCCCCTCAAACAGCTTTCACAGGAGGTTCTAGTATTCTCTCCATTTTACAGATGATGAAACTGAGGCTGAGAGCTAGGTGGAGTCACCTGCTCCAGGTCACATGAGAGGATCATGAGATCAGAGCCTGGACCTGAAAGCCAGGATCTTAGCTCTGTGTCACGCTGTCCTTGAGATCACAGCGGGCTTCTGGGGGAATCCCACGCCCCAAACCTCAGCCCTGCTGACCTGCCCTGGAGCCTGGAAGTCCCCCATTAGTCACCCTTTGTGGCTCCTGGCTGCTGAGGGAAGGTGCTGCTACTTGGGAGGGTAACTGAGTACAGGGAAGCCCTCTCCTTGCAGAGGATGCAACACAGCAGAGCTGAGGCATGGCCGGGGGCAAGCAGCTGGCCTTTATTGAGCACCTATTGCATACCTAGAGCCTTGCTAAACAGTTTGTCTGCATGATCTTATTTAGGATTCACGACAACCCTATAATGGGGGTGCCATGATTGTTCCATTTTCTTGCCAGGGAAACTGAGGTTCAGGAAGCTGAGCCACGTGCTGCAGCAGGTTGCACGATTAGAAA